TACAACAGTTCAAAGTTACAATGACGTTGAAAAAAGTGATTTATGACTATTTTTCAGATTTATGACCGATATAACATCCTCATGGTCACATGATTTACATTTGGATGCTTGGCCACTGACTCACATTTGTGACCATTGTAGTATCCCGGGGTTGTGTAATCACCTTTTGCGACCTTCTGACAAGCAAAGTCAGTGGGGAAACCATATTCACTTCACCGAGTTTCTAATTTAAGAATTCCAATGATTCACTGAACTATGTGGCAAGAAAAGTCATAAAATGGGGCAAACTCACTTAACAAATTTCTCACTTAGCAACATAAATTTTGGGCTCAATTGTGGTCATACAATTGAGGATTACCTGTACTGCTAGAACCACAAATGAAATTGTAGTGGAAGTAGTGGTTTGTTTTATATAGCAATTTCTCAGCATAAAGCTTAAACTGGTATTACTAAAAAATTCTCCTAGAATTCAGTGTTAATATATGTTGGCATTATAGGTAGTCCTCAACTTACGACCATAATTGGACCAGTCACTAAGTGATGCAGTCATTACAGGAGCCATCATGTGTCTAGAGCCAATTTTATTACTATTAAACTATCTGCAAGATGTTGCAGATGTCCTAAATGGGAATTGGTTGCCAAGCACTCAAATTATGATCACATGACTGTGGGCGTGTGGCAACAGTCATAATAACTTTGTTGATGGATCATAAGTTGCTTTTTCCGAAGCTCTTACAACTTCAAACCATTTTTAAGTTGAGGTCTACCTGCATTTGTGGTTTAGAAAACAGAGTGTTTCATATATCTTATCTAGATATTCACACTAAGATCCTTTGAGTCAGGATTTTTATTCCACTGCACTCCTTTTATTTTACTGAGACAATTAGTGTTATTTACTTGGCCAAGGCCACTGAATAATAGATAGATTGGTTCGGAAAGCATCTCTATTATAGGAAATACTCCTGAAGCTGAATGCAGAAAAATTCCTGATCCACAATTCATTCTTTTATTGTCATACGTACAAATTTCTATCCTTTCAGATAGAAGAAGAGCCCTTGTGTAGTAAATACTTTTTAGAGCTGCGCATCACTTTGGAATCAAAGACAAAGGTGCTTAAGGGCATATAGGACTACTTGTTCAGTCCTTGTCTGATCCTCCTTAAAGCAGCTGTATCTTTTATAGGATTGTACGGGTGCTGTCGGCACCTGCAACATGATCCTGAGGAAAATATATATTTGCTTTAAGCAGCTGGAAACAAATGTTATGTGCATGCCCCTTTTGGCCTTCAAGTTTGAATTTGTGAAGACTTATTTTTATTTCTGATATATCTGTTAGATCCATAGCCCATCTTTCTTTCAGGATTCAAGGCTATATATAAAACAGTCACTGCTTCAATTTTGCCCCGCATAACCATCTTGTGAAGTAAATGGGGTTGAGAGAAAATGACTGGCCCAAAGTCAGATAGCGGGCTGAAGATGGGCTAGAACTTGGGTTTTTCCAATGCCAGTCTGACTGTAACCACTATACCACAGTCCTAATAGGCACCATCTTTATCTTACCAACAAGTCTACAAACTGGTGCATCCCATTTATAAGAAAATGTCAGAGCTAATAAAATATGATCCTCCATATAGTTATTGCAATGTTAATGTGCGCTAATAGTACTTTTTGGAGACATTTTTATATTAGACGAACAGGCTTACTTACAACATAGCAGGATATATTATAAAATATTGTACTTAGTCATTTCTACAAGCTCACTTGGTCATTCTAGAAATTAAAGATACGTTTCTTTTTTTCCCAGCCTGATATAGCTCATGTTAAAGAAAAAAATATACTAGCTTTAAGATGATTAAAAAGTTCTGGTAGCATTCTTCTTCTTAATTGTTTGCACTCCATAATTTATAAATTATTGTGGCTCTAGACCTTTCCAGGCTTCACTGATCCCCTTAGCAAAATGTGCATCTGTTTCCTGTTCAGGCTGTCAGCTTCCTGTTGTGGATTTTCACCGCTTGTGTGGTTGCCTGGGCTGATCATGCGTTGCCAATGCTACTTGGCCTTAGTGCAGACTGGTCTGCCTGGCAGTGTGAAACAATAGACAGAGTCTTCGCACGTGGCTTAGGCAAGCGTCCAGTGGATATTTTGGCAGTTAAAGAGATACTCACCCTTCTTCCAGGTAGCTTGGAAATTCTGTTGACCAAAGAGCCTTGGAAAGAGCAAACACCAAAGGTATGTGTTTTAAGTTGTACATGTCCACTGGACTCATGATGGGCTTGAACCTTTTTTTTTTTTTCATTGATTGAACTCAGTATTGTCATTCAGAAGACAATCTGGGTGGAATTTTTATCCACCTGCAAGTCACCCAAGCCATTTACAGTATTCATTACATAATAATTACAAAGAGGAACAAGAGCAAATGGAAAGTTCCACCAGCTGAAATGGGATAGTTAAAATATTTGTATAGGTAACAAAAATAAACAAGAGAATTTTAGAGTAAAAGGGTTTTTTTTTTTAAATGGAGCAAAATAGTCATCCGTGTTTTGCACAGAAATCATGAAAACTAGTCTGCCACTATCATGTCTTGGCACTAGTTCACTCAGCAGTCTGATCTCACAATGTGAAAGAATCCTTTGCAGGTTTTGCAGCAGCTGGACTCGCATATAATAGAAATGGGTATCTGTAGATTGCAGCAGTATAACAATGCAATCATTAAATAAATCCAAAAATATTTTGAGAAATTGCCATACCTGTTGATACACTCTCTTCTTGACCAGAAATCCTTCATGTCTGCATTCTAATATTGGGATCTGACTTCAATTTAAGTTTGTTTATAGTTGTATGTGTTTTATAGAAAGAACTGATGATGAAAGAAAGAATTCCCATCTTTCCCAATACATTTTTAAGGTCATTGTAACTTCTTTCCTAGCTATGAACTTGTTCAAACTAATGTACAGACGTTCATTATATTGGCAGTTTAAAATGTAGTCCACCCAGCATATCTTCTCTAAGTGGTATGTGGGTAATTGCAACATCTTCCCAAAATCATTCCAGTGAAAAGCGCTCCGTATGAGAAGAGCTTGGCATGACTGAAATTAGGTCTTTAAATGAAATTCATACTTTCCAGGATTGCATGAGCTATGGGATGGCTTTGGAGAGTAGCCATAGATTCCTGGGAAGAGATACTGCTGCTCTAAGGAAGTGCAGAGAGGTGCAATTTAGCATGCCTTTCATTCTGAAATGCTGCCCAACACCAACAAATTTATAATATTAAGAAATTAATATTAATTACAAACTAGGATTTTAAGGTATGACATTGCAGGAAGTTTACAAACAATGATGAAAGAATAGCAACAATGCTATTCTTTCTCACTTGCACAGTAACATGCAACTCTCGCTCTTATCTCTAATAATTACACAGATCAGCATGCAATATCAATCACAGTTGACCAGTAGAATCTGAATATTATATGGCAGATTATATGTCCATTTAATATGTCTCTGTTTTATCATTTCTAAGAAGTTGTGTTTTATTTTTTCCTTTTCAAAGAAATGGTTAAATATCCATACATTTGATTGTTCTCATCGAGAGTATGTTGAATTGTCATTAAAATGCATTTCATATAAAACAGTTTGGATCAGTGGTGCCATTCAACCGGTGTAACAACCAATTCGATGAGTGCGCGCTTTGTGCGCACGCTCCACATTTTGAAAAGCCCATTTTCACCTCTAATACCTACCAGCCCCTGTGAATAAAACAGCTGAGGCGTGGAATCAGCTGTGTTCTAAAGAACGAAATAAAGCACAGGAAAGAAAGGGGCGGGTGGGCGGTCCCACATGCTCATGGGAGCAAACGGGTTCGGAGCCACTGAACTAGGGGTTCGCCCGAACCGGGAGAATCCCATCCCTGAATAGATGACTGTTGAGATGGCAATAGTTGTATCCCAACATGTCTGGACAAAGTTGAAAAGGCTTGATTTGAGTTATTTTAATTTTAAAAAAAGAACAATTTTAACATTTGAGTTTTAAATTTATTCACAGTTTATTGACTGGATTTTTAGCCTAATGGAGAATGCTGATGAAATGCTCACTCAGTCTTCCAGAGAACTTTTGAAAGGTATGATAGAAACTGAGTTACTTATAGACTTCCAACTTAGAAAAATAATAACACTTTGTTTTTTGTTTTTTTTAAAAAGGTGATTTATATCAATTTAAAAGCAAAACATGTTTACAAAAGATAGTTATTTAAACTTATTTTGCACATCACATTATAAAGTTTTGGGCAAAGTTGAGGGTAGACTCTTTCAGCTTCAGGTCTCAGACCTCTGTATTGGCTAGAGATGGGACAATGTGGTTAGCATCAACTAAGAAAGGCTACTTCAGGGACTTTGAAATGTTTTCCATATACATTTCTTGGAGGATGAGCCTCTTATTGGCTTCTTGTAATCACCTTCAGATGTGGAAAAACACAAGTGTTTTTTCTGTTCAGTTACTGTTTGTGGATTTTCTATAAGCACTTGCTGCTATGAGAAAAAGAAGGCTGGGCTTGATGTTTCTTTGATTTGATCCAAGGGAGTTTTTCCTATGATATTAATTGACTTTCAAATTCTTTCAGACAGGCAACAGTAGATTTCTTTCTGTTTCCATTGCTGATATTGTGTGTGTTCTTTTAACAGCTTCTTTATTGGCCCTGAGATCTCTTCCAGAGTTTAAGAAGAAAGCAGTATGGACGAAAGCTTATGGCTGGTAGGGATCTTGAAGAAACGGAAAGATACTGTAGCTGCCGATTGTACATGTCTAGCTAAAAACCTTTTATGCTGTGGAATAAGAGCTTTGGTTACAGATATATTTTTATCTTTCCTGGGGAAAGATCCTTAAAAATCCTCCCTATTTGAATATGTACCATTTGTTCTATTGATGAGAGAGAGAGAAAAGAAAGAAAGAAAGAAAGAAAGAAAGAAAGAAAGAAAGAAAGA